CACACACACTCACACTCACAGACACACAGAGAGTGAGTGAGACTGTATGTGTGTGTCTGTTTTTTTAGTTTGTTTCTGTGAGAGACTCAGAGACAGAGAGACAGACAGACAGAGAGACACACAGAGAGAGAGAGAGAGAGTGAGTGTGTGTGTGTGTGTGTGTGTGTATATGTGTCTCTCTCTCTCTCTCTATATATATATATATATATATATATATATATATATATATATATATATATATATATATATATATATATATATATATATATATATATATATATTAATGGAATAAGAAAAGGGAGATTTAGAGGGGCACTTGTGACTTTTCACACAAAAAATCGCACAAGCAGTCGCACTGTTAGCGCGTGAATGACACGAACGAGATAGAGGGGGGTGTATGACTTTGACTAATAATCACAGGGGGTTATTAGTCACTTAATTTCACCCAGGGGGTTTTTTGGTCTTTAGGAAAATCACAGGGGTTGTTTTTGCATTTAACTCGACTCTAATTGAATATAGCTCATATGATTTGTGGGGTAAACCGTACAACTGCATCAAAATATACTATTACAAATATATGCACCAAATGATGAAGTTTTAAGATTAGTTGAGTAATTTTAGTTGACTTAAAAAGATTAGTCGACTAATTTTTTAAGTCGGCTAATCGTTAGGTGCATTTCGTGGAACATAGAATGTTCCACGAAATATTTTATAGATGGCATTAGTTCGTCAATCATAGTACGAATGTGTATTCAAATTTATTCGACTTGCTAAAAAATTTTGGTTGCCTATTTCGTCAATTGATATGTAAAAACGTGCATACAAATTTAGTCGACTAGATAAGAAACATTAGTCATGACCTAGTCGACTACTTAGTCAAGTTATATGCACAAAAGTGTTTAAAAGAAAATATGTATAGTCTATTATACCTTCTGTTAAATATGTGGAAACAAAAGAAAATATACGAAATTGTGTAAGGTGAAATAAAAAAGATTTCATGAAAAGTCTGTAGTTTTGGTAATTACTAATTAGGGAGTGGGTTTGGTAATTACTAATTACGAATAGGTGGAGGTGATTTTCGTAATTTAACCTATGTTCAGGGGTATTTTCATAATTTTACCCAAATAAAAAAGATACTAGAGATTCCTTCAGTATCTCATCTCTTCACTGAGCGAGAGAATCTAATTCGCGCTCTAAATGAACAAGTTCCGGCTGCTACTCTCAGCCACGGCGGTGGTTCTCCTCGCCGCCGCCTTATCCCCCTTACGCAACAAATTCCACCCCTATTTTTTCCCGTCGCTTAACCGTAAGTACACAACCGCTCTCATTTTTCTTAATTCATCGCTCTGTTTCTTTTAATTGGGGGAACCCTAAGCATTTTGCGATGAAACATTTGTTTTCCCGTTCATTTCGTTGTCGATTGTAATTATTGTTCCATTTGGAAGTGATTTGGCTGCGCGGAGAAGAATTGGCGGATTTGGTGGTGACAAATGGGACTATATACACCAGCGACGCCGCTTTCCTCTTTGCTGATTCGATGGCCGTTCGCGGTGGTCGGATTGTTCGAATCGGCAACCGTTCTTCTGTGCAGGTATTCGTCGTCGGACTGCATTTTTTAAAAATTATTCCCGCTTAATGAAACTTGCTTGTACTTTTTGTCAGCCACCATTTGTTATAAGTGATGAGGGTAAATGCAGGACTTGGTTGGATCTGAGACCAGGACGCTGAATCTACAGGGGAGAGTGGTGGTTCCTGGATTTATCGACTCGCATGTGCACTTGATCTTTGGAGGATTACAGGTTCCCGAAAAACCATCTTAATTTTTCGTTCTTTATTCTTCATTGGAAGTTAATATTCAATAGCGGTCTTTATATTTTTTTCGATCAGGAGCTCTAGAGTAAAAAAAAAAAAAATATATATATATATATATATATATATATATATGATGTCTTTAAACTGCGGGGAGTTATAGTAAATAGCAGCAGTATTGCAATACATTGTGTTGTTGGTAATCATGTCTTCAATGATGGATTTGAGTTAGAAAATTGAAACAGATGGCTCGAGTTAAACTCCGTGGTGTCAGCCGAAAAGATCACTTTGTGAACAACGTCAGAGAGGCAGTATCAAGTAAGTCCTATCTTAATCTGGCATTTTTTTTAACTTTTCTCCGACATCAATATAACTCCTGTCCTTGAATAACGACAGCAGTCGAATTTTCCCTTCTTTTAGATTCCATTTTCACCATTTTTCTTTTTCTTTTTCTTTCTCCTTGTTATTCAACCTCTGCATATGTACATATGGTTGCTTTTTCCTGTTGCAACTGATTTGGCATGAGATATGCATTTCGATCCCTCCCCCTTCTTCCGATTGAATATATCACGAGGCAAGAGGGGTCATACCATGGAAGTTTATTGCTTTTATGTTTTGTGTTTAGATAGGATTAATTTTCTAATGTGCTTGTAAAATTTGCTAGATATGCAACCTGGCTCGTGGTTGCTAGGTGGTGGTTGGAACAATGATTTATGGGGAGGCGAACTTCCGATGGCATCCTGGATTGATGATATAACTCCGCATAATCCTGTAAGTATGGATTGTATTCTCAATTTGCTTTGGCATTTAACACATCGCATCACTGAATTCTATAGGTAAGTTACTGCACAGGTTTGGCTGACAAGGATGGATGGCCATATGGGCTTGGCTAACTCTGTAGCACTAAAACTTGCTGGAATATCTACTAACACAGTGGATCCAGATGGTGGATCTGTAGTGAGAAACAGTATTGGAGGTATTGTTTCTATTCTTGCTCTACTCTTTCTTAATCAAGTTGATTTTATTCAGATGATAATGAAATCTTCAGTCAATTAAACTAACCCTTTTAAGCTGCTGAATCTTAACCAAATATTGGTGGTCTGTATTATAACCTTGGCGCTATTTTGATTGGATAAAGTAGAGGGTACACGTCGTGAGCTTAGTTAAGAAAACTGATGTAAAGCTTCTGCTCAGCCTTTCTAAAGAATAACATATGGCTCCATTTGTTGCTATCTGCTGCACTAGTCCACTTAGTTTGTTTTGCCAATTTTTATGATATAATGGCAATTATTTCTCTACTAGATGAACACTACCTATAACACTCTTGAAGCTTACAATACTTTGTACATACGAGCACTTGACGTTTGAGTGTTATCTGGTTATTCATATTGGAAAAATATGGCTGAGTGTTAACTTTTTAACGATAATGTTTACCAATGGGCATGTACCACATCAGTGTTCCTATAGGAAAGATTTGTAGTAACATAAGTGGTGAATCATGAGAGTCTTTTCGGAGCATCTTTTCTTTCTATTTTATCCTGTAATTCTTTTTGTTTTTATGGACTATAGAATGAAAAATATTTTGACAGATTCTCTTATCACTTATTAACATGCAGAACCTTCTGGTTTGTTGATTGATTCTGCAATGAAACTTGTTCTTTCCGACATCCCGGAGGTCTCTGTGGATGAGAGAAGGGAAGCTCTTTTAAGAGCTAGCAATCATGCTCTGAAGAAAGGTGTTACAACAGTTGTTGATTTTGGCCGATATTTTCCTGGAGTATCACCCGAATTCTCATGGGAAGATTTGTCAGGTTCCACATATAATTTATTAATTTTAAGTGGAGTAGAAGTACTTTTTTGTCTTATAGCAGCATTCGGGAATGGTTCATTTATGTGAGACTATCAAAAATTCAAAACAAAAGACAAAAGAATGATACTTGTGCCTTTGTTTTGAATCCTTCAGAGCTTTCAAACAAGGAAAAATGCAACAGAAACAACTTACAAATGAAAGAGAATTGCAAACATTTTCCAGCATATTGATTCATGTAAAGAAATATATTTATACAGATGTGTTAATTTCTGTTATCATGGTACTTGCAGATGTCTACAGATGGGCTGATTTATCAGGAAAAATGAAGATTAGGGTTTGTTTGTACTTTCCAATGGAGACATGGACACGATTACAGGTAATTCAGTTCATCAATCATCAATACTTTTTCCTTCTAAAAACTTACATGTCATTAAACATGTATTTGATTATTTAATCTACTATGTTGCATTCCTGGGATATATAACCTAACAAGCTTATGAGAGTAGACCCTAAAGATCGGATATATGAACATCGCGTTTCTTATACTTAATTGTTCCTTGTGTAGAATCTCATAAAAAAATCAGGTCGCAAATTGAGCCAATGGATTTACTTAGGTGGCATGAAGTCTTTCGCAGATGGATCTTTGGGTTCTAACAGTGCACTGTTCCATGAGGTGAGATTCAAATATTTTTTGTTCATTTGTCAAAAGCCATCTTCTGAATCAGAAAGTCTCTTTTTTTTTTTTTCTTTTGGCGGCATTCTGCGTCTTCTTGGTCTAATAATTTGTTTTGTTTTTTCCCATGTTCAGTCATTCCAAATTCAAAACTTTGTATCATTTAATAGTAACAACAACCATCTCATGTTTCTGTAGCCATATGCTGACGAACCACTCAATCGTGGCCTGCAAGTTGCAGATATAGATATGCTATACAACATGAGTCTCTCTTCTGATAAAGCTGGGCTTCAGGTTTTTTTTTTTTCTTTTTTCCCTTTTTTTTTCTCTCTCTATTTCTTGTACATAAACTATTTGCATGAGTACATTGGTAGCATTTTTAGTTTGTTTCAGGTAGCTGTTCATGCGATAGGAGACAGGGCCAATGACTTGATCCTGGACTTATACAAATCAGTGGCTTCCGAAAATGGAATGAGGGACCGGAGATTTAGGGTAAATTCAACTTTTACGTCTAAAGCATTTTCACAATTAATCCTCAATTTTCCTTTCTGTTTGTTCCTTATAGTGACGGTGCAATAATTCGCAGATTGAGCATGCTCAGCATTTGGCTCCTGGTACAGCAGCTAGATTCGGTGAACAACAAGTTATTGCTTCAGTGCAGGTTCGTTTTTCTCGCTGATTCCTATGTATAATTCGAATTGTTTGATCATCGAAACTCATTGTCTTAAGGGCCATGTTTGCAAAATATAATTGAAACATTCCCGAACAAAGTCTCCAATTTCAACGTTCAAATGCCTATAGAAATTTCAAGAGCTAATCGATCGTGTACTCGTACTGCATTTTCAGTATAGCTGTTTCCAAGTGTAGTGGATGAATTTCTAGGCAAGATTTGAAAGCATTTAATTATGATTAGTGTAACTCAATGGTTTAATTCCTTGTCATTACTTTGCTTAGTTGGCATAGGATTCTTCTACTAAGTTCTAACTGCAATTCGAATTCGATAATGACAGCCTGATCACTTATTAGACGATGCTGGTTCCGCGACAAAAAAACTTGGGATCGAGAGGGCACATGGAGGATCGTATTTATTTAATTCACTCCTTGCTGGCAATGCACAGTTGGCTCTTGGCTCTGATTGGCCAGTGAGAACATTTTTCCCTATTAATCTTTGTTTCGATAATACATAATTTTTATTATTTTTTTAATTTTTTTTATGAACTAATAATCCATGGCTTATATATATATTGTCTCACTTAAGGTTGCAGAAATCAATCCTTTAGGAAGCATAAAGACAGCACTGAAAAGAGTGCCACCTGGTTGGGATAACGCGTGGATTTCATCTGAATGCATCAGCCTGAATGATGCATTGAATGGGTAAGTAATTTTCTGGCCCAAGTAATTGAAAGAAAATCGACCATAATATTTCAGATTTATGTGATCTTTCTATAAAATCCCTCACCGATGAAGCGTAGCTGTTGCGTAATATTAACAGAACTCTTTAATCAGACAGTTAAAACAGCAAAATCAAGTAAAAACTTCCTGAATACCGTTTGCGAATAGTCCAAGAAATATAAGCGCTTCATAAATTAAGAATTTCGTTTTTTGAAAATTAAAAGTGCACTAACTTGAACTAAAGATTTTTTCTTTTTCTTTTTGGGAGTTATTATAGTGACAAGTTGATGAAATTATCGAATATGACGACGTGGTGCAGGTACACCATTACAGCTGCTCGTGCGTGCTTCCTCGATGAGGATGTGGGGTCACTCTCTCCTGGTAAGATGGCAGATTTTGTGGTTCTATCGGTGAATACGTGGGAGACGTTTGCTTCCGAAGCTTCTGCTTCTGTCGATGCTACTTATGTTGGTGGATTAGAAGCATATTCGAAGAAGCTCAACGAAGGTTAATTTTATGAAGTGGAATTTGTTAATTAAAAATAAATGTTGAGAAGCTTATACAATCCAATTGTAAAAAAAACAACTTAGACTTGGTGATGGATTTAGCCCATAATCCTTTTCTTTTCATAATGTTGAATGATCAATTATATTGATAAAAAAAAAATTAAAACAATTCACATAGATTATCATTTTACATTCAAAACTCATTCTTGAAGAGTGCAACTATCTTGCTAGTTAAATAAATGGCCAAATTACGGCTACCCTTGAGGTAAAGTCAAATTACGAAAGCACCCCTCTTGTTCGTGTAATTACAATCATTCCTTCAATTATGTATTGTCTTACGAAAAAAACTCCCCACGGATGTTTCTCAATTCATCGGGGCTCGCTTAATTATAATCCTAAAGTAGCGTCTTCAACTGATCTAACTTCAAGAAACCAGCGTTTATCGAGTGGGGCCCATCACCACATTTGTATCTAGCGTGTGTGTATTGCCACCTCAGCTTGGGGGCGGCTCCAACACAACATGCTTCCTCGATTTTCACTCGACCGTAGTTTTCGCTACAACACGACCGTTACTTTCTAGAGGTGCCGATTCGTCTTTCTTAGGAAAAGAATCGGCACCCTCGACGGAGTTAGCAGCTACATCATTGCTAGTTGATGAAGACAACTCTTCTCCTCCGACATAATCTATGTGCTTTTCGGACTCGTTTGAGCTGAACTCCCCGACACTATCTAGATCCGATAAAGGTGCATCGATTTCCTTAATCTCGTCATCGTCTTCAAGAATCGTCTCCATTTCGGCGGGTGAAGTAGATTCTTCGGAAGTAGTACTTGACGGCGTGGGAATAAACTCGAGACTAAACGGAGAGTTAACATTTCTAGAGATTCCGTGATTGAGCTCGTGGACCTCTTGGATATTCAAATTTGGTATTATTCGGACACTCTCGAATGACTCAACCGGTGTATTTGGCACCTGCATTGTGTGAGGCAAGATTAGTTTTAAGTTAAAAGAAATAAGGGAAAAAATCAAGAAAACCTATGTATATATAATGAGGGAAAATTACGGGCGCCCCTGAGTTATGGTTAAATTACGAAAACTTCCCTCCTGTTTGGGTAATTATAGCCACTCCCCTCAACTATGTATTATCCTACGAAAATACCCCTCTAGAATCCAGAGGTAAATTTAGAGATGTTAAATCAGTAAAACCGAACCGAAATTTCGGTACGCCAACATTTCATACCGTTTACCGAACTGAATATACGATTTGGTTCGGTAAATAACCGAATTACATAAATTTTATGTAAAAATATTTAAAAGGAGGGATTGTTGTAATTACCCAAACAAGAGGGGTTTTTTCGTAATTTGGCGACACCTCGGGGGTAAATTTTCCCTATATAATTATTAGCAACTACACCTAAAAATGCAGGGTTTTTTTTGCCGATACTCATAACATGAGGAGGTTTTTAGCAATTCGATATAACACAAGAAGCTGAATGCAATAAAATCATATATAAACCTATCGTTTTAGTTACCTGCACTTCATCGAGATGTTCATACTCCGTATTATCATGCATTCGGATATCGTAAAAGAGAGGCGTACTTCCTCCGGCCGAAGGTGTAGTAATTAACTTCTCATTCGCTTCTTGAAACTCATCTTCGGAATTCGGCGAACCAACATTCTTGCCCTTGTCGATCGTATCATCTTTTTCGAGTTTCGGAATTAACAAACACTTTTCCTTCTCTGATTGAGCACGAGTATCGAAATCGGAACTGGAACTAGGATCTTGACCGTGCTCGTGTTTATCCACAATAGCTTCCTCTACCGATATCTTATCACCTCCACAAGAATCGGGATTCAGATTCTCTAGAGATTCCTTTCCATCCGATCGACAAAGTGTCTTTTGCTTAGGTAGGATCTCGATTATTGTCCTCTTGACATTCACATGTGGCAATCTTGAATCAGAGTCTGCATGCACGTCGGAAGAACTAGACGAGGACGAGAAATTCTTTCGTGAAGTTGGGCTAGAATCGTAAACAGGTTCCTTGTGTGGAATTTCGTCAACTGACGGATTTCCGGTACTTTCTTTTTCGGAATGATCTTCAATATCTCTCTTTTCGACCGGGCCCACCTCCACAGAATCTTCTTCCGCGTCCTCTTCCTCTTCTTCTTCCGAAGATTGGCTTCCATGTCCAATATGCTCGGAAACATGCTCCATCTCCGAGATTAGCTCCGGTTCGTGAGGCGCATCTTCTTCTTCTAGAAGGTTCCGGTACTCGAGATCCTCAACCGAGCAAACCGATTCCATCTCATGAACGGAACTCACCTTGGAGTCGCTCTTTTCGCTCGAATAGCTCGATTCTTCTTCCGGGACCATCCGCTCCGGAACAAAATAGGGCCTCATCAACTTAGCGTCGTTCTTGTTCGGTGGCGGCTGTCCGAAAATCGAAGGCCCCACGTTGAAACTCTCGTGCCTTCTAAAGAAAGGTTCCTCTCGAAATCCGTCTCCCGTCTTCTCTTCGGTTGTTGCGTTGTAGTCGAAAGGGATATCGAAAGGGTTACGCCTCGGCAATAGAATAGAAGGAGCCGAACCGGGAATCGGAGGTAGTCCCGAGTAGTTATCGTATGAATCGTGGGGGAAGTCGAACGGATTTTGCCTCGATGTGGAAATCGGGCCCACGTTGAATGGAGGATCGGAACTTTCCAAGTCGATCAAGTTTATTTCCGGAACCATGCTATTGAATTTCCGTGTCCGTCTCCTCAGGATCAAATTCTCCAACCGTTGGTTCCGTTCGATCTCGGAACTCCCGAGATCCATGAGATTCTTCTGGTCCTCCTCCGTCCACGTAATGGCGGACTTTGTCTCCTCTTCCTTGTCTTCTTTTACCTCCTCTTCTTCTTCGTCGTCGTCGAAATCGTCGCAATTCTCGGTTTCGTCGCCCGATTGATGACTGCTGACGGTGCTGGCGGTGGTGGTGGATTCAGAAGAATGCTGCGACATTGCGTCGTCGGAGTTGTCGCGGGAGGATATTTGAGCATTCTGCGCGGCTTCTTCGTCTAGTAGGGGATGGAGCTCATCGAGCATCGGCATTATGTCGGCCATCGATGCGTCGGGTGAGGAACTCTCGGCCCCATCGGAACCAGAGTCTAAAGCATCACCTTCTTCTTCTTCCACCTCCTCTTCCCCATCCTCCTCGTGTGGTGGAGAATCGAGACAATCCACATTCACCCTCTCAGAATCAAACGAATCCGCAACCGATTTCTCATCGTCGTCCGTTTCAAGATTTCCGTCACTAATTTTCGTCGTTAAAATCTCGACGCCTTCCAGTTCGCCCACCGGTGGAGTTACCTCGACAAACGGAGGGGTATCGTCCGAATTACTCTTAACACCACCCTTACTCGAATCCTCTTCCTCCTCCTCCTCCGTTTTATCGACGTAATAATTGTTATTATTCTCCTCAACTACAACGGTGTCCGATTTCGACAACCCCGTCTCTAACGGGACAACCTCGTCCGCTGTTGTTGTCTCGTCTCTTTCGAGTTTATGTACGTTAAGCTGCCCGAAACTTAAGAGGGTCCCGAGTAAGATAGCGGTGCATATTAGAACAGGGGAGGCGGATACGAACAACGAAAACACGAAAGGGAACGATCGGTGGATAAAGATCAAGAAACAGAGCATGCACACAAGGAATGGATGGCTGCAAACTGATCTGAAACAAACTTTGATTGGAAATTTCTTCATTTTAGTTTCAATCTTTAATAATTCAACTCCCATTTCTTCTCAAAACAAAAAATATTGCGATTTCCTCTTCAAACCTATCACATCAATAATGTAATAAAATTCAGATAAAAACAAAATCAAAACCGGTAATAAGAAGTATCAAATCATTTTGTATTGAAATTATATGCAATGTTTGAAAACTCTTGGGACTTATTCTCATTTCATCAGAAAATACATTTTGGAGATAATATTCATGCACATATAATAAAAATTAGGGTAAATTACGGCCACCTCATGAGGTAAAGTTAAATTACAAAACCCCATCTTATATTTGGGTAATTATAACCACCTCCTCAACTATGAATCTTCTTACACGTCCACCCTTATGATGTCAAATTCAGCATAATCTTCTAGATTCCGTGGGATGTTCTCTAGTTCGTATTCGTTTTGCGCAAAACTGCAGTTTATGATGCACCACAATCTGATATTTACAAACCAAGACACATCTTATGATCATTTTGTTTCAAAATGTGGAGTTCGAATAGGGTAAAACTGGTACAAACTAGAGAATATTCCATATAATCTAGAAGAGTCCACTAAATTTGACACCGCAAGGGTGGACTTCTAAGAAGATTCATAGCTGACGAATGGTTGTAATTACCCAAACATACATGAACAATTTTTTCTTAATTTAACCTTACCTCAGGATTGACAGTAATTTATCCTAAAAATTATACTAAGACAATACAAAGGAAAGAAAAAGAAAAAAAGAAAAAGAAAGGAAAGAGAGATCAAACCATCATCATCCTTATCAAGTAGGCTAATGGCCTCCTTGAGTCCTCCATTGTTTCTTTCCTCAGCCAAATAAAAAAAAAAAAATAAAATAAAATAAAAAAATGATGAAATGAGAAGGAGAGAGGAGGTTTCTGGAAGATGATGAGATTAGCTCTGGAAATTGTGGCAAGAAAAAAATAAAAATAGGATCCTGATTTTTTGGTTATGAATGAAAATAGGAGGACCATAGAGTTTTGCTTATTTTAGGAACTATATTTTACTTGAGAAATCAGATGCTACACGTGGTTATTTACATTGGATGAATTTGAATCGTAAATCTACATATAATCACACACACACCTATATATGTGTTTAGTATATAGTTATTTAATTAAATCTACGGTTCAAATTCATCCGATGCAAATAACCAGATGTAACATATAATTTCGCATTTTGCTTTGCTTGTTTCGCGCATATTTGTATTAATTCGTTAATAAATTAAACTAATTATTAATTATATCAATGTAGCCAAATATAAAGGTATAGTGAATTAATCTTTACTCTTGTAGTCTCATGCAATACCTTGCAAACCACTGACCACGTGAGATATATAAAATTAGGGATGTTAAACTGTTAACAAGTCAAATTCGAGCTAGAGTGTTTTTGTGAGCTTGAGCTTAAGTTGATTTTGAGGAGTCCGAGCTCGAGCCAAACTCATTTTTTTTTAATTAATATTTAAAAAAATATTATATTATAATAAAGTATTACAAATTAATTAACGAATTGTAGTTTATTGTTTATATTTTTTATATGTTTTTTTTAAAATATTTATAATAAAAATAAAAGATGGCGAGAGGATGAACAAATATGAAAAAATCTCAAGCTTGAGCTCAAGCTCAAGTTTGAACTTTTGTTGAACCAAATGCAGACTTTAGGGGTTAAGGGTGTTTATGTAATTCCCCAAAACCCCCCACCTTGAGTGTTAAAGTCGCATTTCATTTAGTGTAAATAACGAAAATCCCCTGAACTTAGACTAAATAATGAAAAATACTCCTACCTATCCATAATAACTAAAACCCCCCTCTGATTAATTGTTGATTGATTTTTTTAACAGAAAAGATGTACAATCTATTATACCTTATGTTAAATATGTGAGAAATAAAAGAAAATTGCTGAAATTGTGTAATGTCTATATTCCTGGAATAAAAAAAAATTCCTGAAAAGTCACACTGTAGGGGTTGGTGTACGACGGAAACAAACCTCAGGGGGTTTTTGGTAATTATGAATAGGTGGGGTATTTTCTGTTATTTAGCCCAAGTTCAGGGGTTTTTGTAATGGGTAAATTACAAACACCCCCTGAGGTATGATCAAATTACAAAAACACCCCTCTTGTTTGGATAATTACAACCAACCCCTCAACTCCTCAAATTTAGTGGAATCTTCGAGATTATATGGAATATTATCACTTTTGTACCCGTTTTATCCTATTCGAACTCTACATTATGAAGCAAGATGATCATAATATGTGTTTTTTAGCTTGTCTGGGGGTTGTTGGGTGAAAGTGAAATGGAGTTGACTCCCTCCATATAGTTTTAGCTTTTGTGCAGTCTCGAAGCACATGGAGACCAGTTTCCATGGACCATAGAGATAGACCAGCTAAGGGTGTAGTTACATAGGATCCCGTGATGAGGGGAATCGGACAGACATAATAAGCTCTTTTATCGAGCAAAGGATCCCTTTTCCTTAAGCGTAGATTCAGGTGCGGACGAGATGAGACATGAGAGAATGAACGGACATGATCAATAGCTGATGGCTGAGATTCAAGAAGGAGAAAGTTTATGGTGCATCGGAAATTGTATCTTTACACAAAATGAGTACAAACTAGAGCACATTCCATAGAATCTAGATGATTATGTTGAATTTGGCACCATAAGGGTGGAGGTGTAAGAAAAAATCATAGCTGAGGGGGATAGATGTAATTATACAAACAAGAGGGGTGTTTTTTTAATTTGACCATACCTCAGGGTGGGGTGTTTGTAATTTACCCTTTCATTTATTAGTTTGTTTCCTTCTCACCCAAATGAATCCCCAAAACCCCGGCTTAAAACCCTAATTTAACACTCAAATTAACCCAAATTCTTTACAAATCCTTGAAAATTCTCAAAACTCCTGCTCTACAATCATCATCGTGTTTAAAACTCCACTACATTGCAGCGTTTCCGCTCCACAGATTACTCCGTTTCAACTGATTTCGAGCTGCAAGCTCAGTGCAAGGTGTGTATTTATTTAAATAAATTTATCTGAATTATGTTTTTGTATTCTCTCTTTGTAATATCTGATTACACAGTGTTGAAGTAAAAATAAATTTGTTTCTGTTCATTGGATGCTGTTGTTGTACATAGGCCATAGCCCACCGTTCATGTTCAAAAAAATATGTAATTTGCTTTTTATTTTTTTGACGAATGAATTTCATTCTTTGGAATTAGAGATAAATTTTCCGACCGATTGTACTAATTTTTTTTTTTCAATTACATGTTGAAATTAATTTCAGTCTTGTGATCGTTTCCGTTTTTTTGCGCTTCGTATTTGCAGTTACATTAAGTGATCTGAACAGGATTACGAGCTGCTGAGTACCCGACCTGAGGCACTATCACCGCCACGTCATCGATGATTACCGAGCTACGAAGAAACTCCAACATCCTTCTATGTAAACTCCTTCACTCTACTCGAAAAACAATCTCCCCTCCTCACTCCAATTGTCATATACGAACTTATGTCGAGGTGTACATGAAACGGAAAAAAGATCCATACTTCGACTCTATCGATTCCATTCATAAGTCCCTCGAACTGAAGCCCGTCATTGCTCTCAAAAACTTCTTCATATCGTCCTCCTCTTCTCCGCACGATAATTATTCTATTCCAATCTCGTCCGTCTCCAAAAAAGGACCGGAATTCGGCTTAAGCATCAGAGTTTTACGGTTCTTGAGGAACTACCCTTCCTTCTTCGAGGAGTTCGAGGGCCCACTTTACAATTTACCCTGGTTTAGACTGACCCAAAAAGCGGTCGAGCTCGATAAAGAGGAAAGATTGGTCTCCGAACAATTTAGAGACGATATAGTCACTAGGTTAAAGAAGTTTATATTGATGAGTGGCACAAGAAAGATGCTTCCTTTGAAGATAATCAAGGGCTTTCGTTGGTATCTAGGCTTGCCCGATGAGTTTTTCAAGGACCCGTTGGATTATGTTAAAGGATGCGGGCGTTTCGAAATTGTGGATATAGAAGATGGGTTGAAAGGGTTGTCTGTTTTCGAAGAGTCTAATAATGGAAATAAACGTAAAATATTTTCAACTATACAGAAGAATGCGATGAATAGTGGAGTATATAGTGGGGGTGAAAACGAGGCGATTGCGTTTCCTCTGTTTCCGTCTAAGGGGCTGAGATTAAAGCAGAAGATAAAAGATTGGCTGGTTGAATTTCAAAAGCTTCCTTATATGTCCCCTTATGAAGATTCCTCGTGTTTGAATCCAGACAGTGATGTATCGGAGAAACGGTTAGTGGGTTTGCTGCACGAGGTGTTGTCGCTGTTTGTGGAGCATGCTGCTGAGAGAAAGTCCTTTATTTGTCTGAAAAAATACTTGGGTTTGCCTCAAAAGGTTCACAAATGTTTTGAGAGGCACCCTCATATTTTTTATCTGTCGATGAAGAATAATACGTGTACGGCTATTTTGAAAGAAGCGTACTGCGATGAGGTGGCTGTTGAGCCGCATCCGCTGTCGAATGTGAGGAAGAAGTATATTGATCTGATGAAGGAATCGGTTGTTATTTTGAGGAGTAAGAGGGGGAGTAATAGTAGGGCTATTAATCAAGAAAATGCCGACTCGAACGATTTGGGTGGTGTAAATGATCGAACGTTTCAACTTGAAGCTAATGTGCCAATCGATCAAGATTGATATTATCGATCTCGTAATCGATCCGTTTGAAGTTGTGGAAAGTTGATATTTTTGCCTAGTACGAACGAGCTTGCTGTTGTTGGATTTCACTATCGTATCTCGTGCTTCTAATCACGATTCATTCTAATATCAACTGTAAATGTACGTTACATATTTTCACGTATACTGGTAATTGGTAAAGCCATGTTTTTTTTTCGTGATTTTTTTTCACGTGTTTTATGTTATGCAGTTTTCATGGGGTTGGTGTCTCTTGAAAGATGTCTCGGACGAGACAACAAAAAAAATGGTCGGGTGAAGTCGAACAAACAGGTCACCTTCTTAACTATGTCTACTGCACTTAGGTCTAAATATGTATTTATTCAAGTTTGGTGTTAGAAAAAATGTTATTCACTTGTAAATATGCTTTCAAGATACCTGAATTAAAATCTTAGAAAGAAAATTGGCCTTATAAATGATCTTGCATCACACGGGCACAGACAAATACAGATACAGACATGTGGAAAATACTAGTGTCCATTTGTTTTCAATTGGGTAAATTACGTCCACCCCTCTGGTAAGATCAAATTACGAAAACCCCCCTCATGTTTGAGTAATTATAAACACCCCTCAACTATGAATCTTCTTAACGTGTCCACCCTTATGGTGTCAAATTCATCAGAATCTTTTGGATTCCGTGGAATGTTCTCTAGTTTGTACTCGTTTTGTGCATTAATGCACCATGATCTGATATTTAGAAGCTAAAAGACACATCTTATAATTATCTTGTTTCAAAACGTGGAACTCGAATGGGGTAAAACGGGTACAAATTGGAGAATATTCTACATAGTTTGGAAGATTACACTAAATTTGACACCGCAAGAATGAATATGTAAAAAGATTTATAGTTGAGGGGTGATTATAATTATCCGAACATAAGGGGTTTTTCGTAATTTGACCCTACCTCATTACCCTTTTCAATTTTATACCATACTCTTCAATTTTATAAATATTTAAAACTTTGACTTTCTTAAACATATTTTGTATTATTATTGTTTCTCCTTTAAATTTATCAAATATTAACAATCTTTTTATGTGGGAACTATTAAATAAACATATTTTATATATTAAATTACAAAAGTACCATAATTTAAACACAACAAAACCAAACGTGCTGAGCAGTCATTTGTTTTTTTTTTTTTTTCTTGTAAATCACAAATTGATCTTTCGGCCGACCAAATGGAGATGGGGCTTATTACTAGCTTTAAGACATGCAGGCACGAAACAATATACTCACCTGCATATTTTGACTTAGCAACTCTGCCTACTTGGATATATATATATATATATATATATATATATATATATATATATATATATATATATATATATATATATATATATATATATATATATAGAGATATATATATATATATATATATATGATACGGTTTATTCTAATCTACACCGAATATATCATATCATAATCAATCGTTGACGAAAAAAAGAACAAACATTCGTATCGGCGTGTGACGTGTATAGTTACGACTTACGATATACTCGAAGTAGGTGAGAGACATAGATTTGACTGGCTGGAACCTTGGTTGATTATGATTTTGTCCATTTGTGTGTACACATTGCAATGTTGAGGTTTTGAATGAGTGTAAAAATCTCAACTTGAACATAAACTATATATATATGTAAGAGGAATCAATTTGATTTAGTTCTAATTCTTTCTATACAAGCTTATTCCGTGTCCGAACCCCGGAGACTCTCTCACCTTCCGGGACAAAAAATCGGTATAAAAAAATGGACCCCGATTCAGCTTTCACCGTTCTCATTGTTATACGGTAGATTACTCGTTTTCGTAACCTATTTTGATCTATAAATACAATTAATACAAAAAAAGAAAAAAAAAAGCTATCTACAAACTATAGCATGTAGGCACCATCATCGGACAAGGCCTTCTTTCATGGCCCGATGAGCAACGGTCGTCTAGGCCCGAACCCAAACTGTACAATGTGGGCCTTGCTAGGGGCAAAAGTGGAAATGTTTTTTTACCGGTCTTTTCAAACGTCGTCTCTGAAGATTCTGAATACGAAATCACGGAAACGCTTGGAGTACTGTCTGGGGTCCACAGAAGATATTGACGTCGAATCGTATTGGAAGGACTTGATTGTATGTTCGAGCTTCTTTCCGATGTCGTATTCTTGTAGTATGTCTATTATTCCGAATACTAGGATGACGTCATAGTACTCCCCCGTTGGCTCCCCTATTAGCTGAGCCTCTCCACCGTTCTTTCTCATGGTTAGTTCGGCTCGTGCGGGCATGTTTGAACCTAGTTTGATCGAAGCCAACCTGAAAAAAAAATTAGATTGACTTAAGTGGTGTTCGCAAAAAGCAATGGTGGTTGTGACTAAAATTTGAAAAACATGTTTATTTTTAAAAGTTGAAGGTGTTTGCAGATGTCGAATAAACTATAAACAGTCAACTTTATAAGTTGACATGTTTGCAAAACAAAAACTGCATTTGCAAACATCCAAAAACAAATTATGAGCCAAAATAAGCTCATAAAATTTTTCAAACACAACCTTAGTAGCAATTTCGAGTTATAATAAAGCACGAGTTTTGTAACAACTTCACCATTAAATATAAGCAACTCATTACCGATTACTATCGAAGTGAAGACTCAAATCTGTGGTGGAGAGTCGAGGAGGTACTCCTTCACTAGTTTGGTCTCCGTTCCCTACACAAGTTTTCATCACAAACTTTCTCATGTAAGATACGGAAAAAAATCAACGAAAAAAAAAATATGAAGAAAAAATTAATGTACGATTAGGTCATCCACCTCTAGATAAACTGGTTTCAGCGATTAGTGGTTCCCCAGATCGCGATACTTCTCTGAAGTGAATGCCAACCAAAAGACTGTAATCCATAATCCTCTCTTGCTCGAGAAATTCACAGTCTCGATCCACTTGCCTGCGGAATTAAAACATTTTACAAATTACCCCTCAAAATATACATACAAGGACAATTATATACAATGGCGGAGCGAACATAGGGCTTTACCTGCAAAACTCTTGAAACCAAGATTTGTGCGACCGGAAGATAAAATTCAAATCAAGATCCTTGAGTGTGGTTGCCGAATCAATCTCGGATTCGGGCCTCACGGTTAATCGACCGTGCGACGAGCCTTTCAAATCGAAGCGTCTGTGGATGGCATATTCCGTACAAAATAAATTGCCCATAATCACAAACCGAACCTGCTTATTAGTGTTGTAATAGTTTAGAGGCCTTGATTTTCTTACGATCAATATTCAAATCGATAATAGAATTATTTTTTTTTTCTTTTTTCGATTTTTTCGTACCTTCTTTTGTGCAGTACCGGTCATCTTCACGCAATGTAGGCCGAAAAATTTGGTTACGAGCGTGTTTTCAAAGGCCTGGACGTGGTTATAGTAAGCCGGAAGCATTCTTTTAAGCACCTGCTATCGAATAATGAAGTTTCTTATTAAAAAAAAATCGAAAAAGAAATGTATTTATATTGAATCTATCGAAAATGAAACTCACTTTGACTTCGGATTTCTTCATTGTTTTAATCATGTATTTATCGTCGTTGGTCAAGTAGAAGAAGCTTCCGCTTTTTCCGGGCGACGAGAGCTCGCGTAGGGCATCGTTTCCGCATATCGACATCATGTAATCTCCGGGATCCACCTTAAACAGCTTCCTAAGTGTCCTGAAAAATTAAAAAAACAAAAAAATTCTGAAAAATTAGTGACAAATCAAAATGTACATAAACTGAAATTAGTCAACAAATCAAAATGTACATAACCTGAAAACCAATGGGCAATAATCCTTCCACTTGAATTCACACGATTGATGAGGTGGCGTATGCTTCGATCCTAGCGGCGGAAATTTCGTCCATACTTTATCCCTCGGATCGAATGCCGCCGCTTTGAAATCGAGCGACGTAGCCGGAGCGGGTCTTCCTACCGAATGTCTGATTTTTCATCCAACAAATTATTTCGATCATAAACTCAAAAATAAAATCGTCCGAATCAAATAAAAAATTAGATTACCTTATTCCTAGCTGCAAATTGAGCATGAGTTCGTAATTCTTATGACCTCTCGATATAGTAAGTCCTTGTCGTTTCGCGGGCTTTATCTTCAAACGGGGCCGCCTATACCCTCGTAAAACATCCAACGACAATTGTTGTTCGCCCCCGTTTTCCACTTCTCTTTCGGTACTAGTACTAATCCCACCCCCTTCGTCGCTCGAATCCGACGATTCCGAACCAAAGCTGTGGGCCCCACCATTGCCAAGCCTCCTCAAAGTCGCCCTCCTCGCTCCGTAAACCTTCTCTTCGCAATCCCAATTCACCGCTTTCTCCGACGGAAAAATTGGAATCTTCTCGCCGGGGCTTATCCGACAATCACTCAAGTTCACCAAATACACTTCTTGCGGGTCCCACTCGAACCCGCCGCCGGTGTTCGAACTCGACGGGTAGTAGGTCCCGCTTTGCTCCGACGGGTCTTCGCTCCAGACACCCACGTAGCAACTCCCGTCGCCCCACCGGAAAGTCCCGTTACCTCTGGGGAACCCGTCCGCCCAGGAGCCCTCGTACTGGGTCCCGTTGGCCCACGCCATCGTTCCGGCACCACTCATGGCCCCCTGACGCCAGTACCCGTCGTACTGGTGCCCGGTGGCCGCCCAGTGGTACCGCCCCCTGCCGTGGGGGCGGCCCATCTTCCAACTCCCGTCGTAGAAGTCGCCGTTGTCGTACGTCCTGACACCTTTCCCATGGCGCGTGTTCCGGCGCCATTTACCGATGTAGGTGTCGTTGTGGGACCCGGTGTACGTGCCCTCGCCTTCCATGTAGTTGTTATTGAACTGGCCCTCGTAGGTGGCGCCGGAGGGCCAGCTGAACTTGCCCTTTCCGGTGGCTTTTCCGGCAAGCCAGTCGCCAACGTACATACATCCGTCCTCCCATAGGCACTTGCCGTGGCCGTGGGGGCGGGTGTGGGCCCACTGGCCCATGTAGATGTCGCCGTTGGGGAAGAGTTTTTCGACGTGGTAGGGTTCGCCGGCGGGGGTATTATTGTCATATTCGTCGTCCACGTGGGCTACAGACATTGATCCGAAGATGTATCTCTTTGGATGACTCGGTTTCTGTTTCGGTTTCGATTTCGTCGCCTCTGTTTTGTTGCTAAAATCTCTGCTCATATTCTTTTCAAAGACTCTATTTTTTTTTTGATATATATATATATATTTTTTATTGGGAGCTTTAAAAATTAGCCCAGATCCATGTTCCTTTGCACCATGGATATGAGCTCTAAGATAAGATTTGCGACCATTTTTTTTTCCAGACTAAGAAGGTGACCGTTGGATTGATGAAGAAAAAATACCCGCCAAAAAAATAAAAAGAAGAAGAAAACAAGAACCTTCTAGTCTTGATTTCTTGATTTGTTTGTTTGAATTTCTTGAAAGAAAATAGTTTGGCCTGTCTGTCTCTATACTGTTGATATATTTCCTGTCAAAACAAAAGGATATCTTCTTGTTTCTCTAACAGGGTTTTTCTTCTCTCTCTAAGAATTATTCTCTCCCTCTCTCTCTCTAAAAGAATTATTATTCTTTAATAAAAAATAGTGATTGGGTGGAAAAAGGAAAAAGGAGAGATCGGACAATACATAGTTCCTGGTTTCCAGAATTGGGTAAGAAATGAGGATGGTGGGAAAGACATGGTGGGTTGATGTGTTTGCACATTCTTGTGTACCCGCCACACACAACATTTATTTAATTGCTAATATATATATATATATATATATATATATATATATATATATATATATATATATATATACACACACACACACCCACACACTTACCTTTATTTGTTATTTTACCATTTTCAAACTTTTGCTTCAATATTCCACCAACTTTTTTGTCCTTTTTTTTTATTCGGGTTTTTGTGTTTTCGGGTTTTTCAGGTTTTCGGGTTTTTGGGCGGTTGGGTTTTGGGTTTTCGGGGTTGGGTTTCAGGTTTTTTAGGTGCTGGGTTTTCGGGTTTTCGCAAAACATATATAAGGGGTAAATTACGGCTACCTCTGAGGTAATGTTGAATTACGAAAAAATTCCTCATATTTGGATAATTACAACCACCCCCAACTGTGAATCTTCTTACACGTCCACCATTGTAGTATCAAATTTAGTGGAATCTTATAGATTAAGTGAAAAGTCTCCCTTTGTACCTGTTTTATTCCCCATTCGAGCTCCACATTATGAGACAAGATGATCATAAAATGTGTCTCATGCCTTATAAATATTAGATTGTGGTGCAATCAAACTAGAGAACATTCCACGAAATCTATGTTGAATTTAACGCCATAAGAATGGTCGTATAAGACGACTCATAGTTGAAGGGGTGGTTATAATTACCCAAACAATTTTTTTTTATTTTTTTTTTATAATTTAACCTCACCTCACGGGGTGTCCGTAATTTACCCTTATACAGAAAATGATTTAGATAGTGTTGTTGTTTTTGTATTTATTTCTTTTTATAAATGAACCAACAAGTGCAACATCGCTCTCATATACTGTATAGCTTGCAAATTGCATTAGACAAACTATGTGGAACTGAACTCGAGTCGTTATAATTACCAACTAATTAGGTCACTCTTATCTCGTACGAGATGTTTGTTTGTTATATACTTTCATTTGTTTAATTTGTATAAATAAGTATTTATGTCTGCATAACCTATTCAATTTATCTCATTTTTCGCCATCCAATGCTTAATGTATTCCATTAAAAAAAATCCACACATATTTTGTGAGCACATAACCCTAATAACG